CTGGTCAGCCAATCCATGGGCCTCTCTCACATCAGTGTTTCTCTTCTCCTCCTCATCATCCTTCTTCTTCTTCTTCTTCTTCTTCTTCTTCTTCTTCTTCTTCTTCTTCTTCTTCTTCTTCTTCGTCTTCTTCCTCCCCCCGCCCCACCCTTCCACTCTCTCTAAAAACATTTTAAAAACATATAAAATACAATGAAGTAAGGCAGGGCCCCACCGCGTGCTGGCGAGGGCGCAGGGACGCGGCCCTCACACCGCTGGCAGGAGTGTGACGCGGGGCAGCCGCGCTGGAAGCTTCTTCAAGACCTAAACCTGCGACCACCCCACAGCCCAGCAGTTACTCTCCTGAGCACCTGCCCAGAGAATGCGGGATTTGTGGTCACACAGAAGCCTACACATGAACGACGGCAGCTTAATTCCTAGCAGCCGACGCTGGAAGGAACCGGTGCTGCACATCGGGGACCGCGACCCGCAGAACAAAGGAGCAAACTGGAGGCACCGCAGCAACCTGGCTGCCCGAGGAACTGGGCTGGACAGGCCCGTCCCGGAAGATTACCTGTACGATTCCGTTTAAATTACTCGTTTGAAATGACAAAATTATAGAAATGAAGACGGATTAAAGGTTGCCAGGGTTACGGGAGGAGCGGGACTGGGAAGCAAATGGCGAGGCCGCAAGGGACCAGCTGGGTCGCTGTGGTGACGGAAACCTCCGTCGGATGGTCAGTGTGGTGCCCAGGTTGGGGTGTTCTACTGTCGTTTACTAGGTGACCCGCGGTGGAGGGTACCCGGGATCTCCGTATTATTTCTTTTAAGTACACGTGAATCTACAAATATGTCCAAATACAGGCAGACCTCAATGTATTGAGATTCGCAAGACCCGCCGCCAGCGCAAGGGCCCGCTCGCTGAAGGCTCGGCGGTGGTAAGCATTCTTTAGCAATAAAGTGTTTTCTAATTAAGGTACGTACATTGTTTCTTTGACATGTCTCTATTGCACACCATGGTGGAAACAACTTCTACGCGCGCTGGGAAACCGACAGATTTGCGTGACTCGCTTCGTTGCCATATTCGCTTTACTGCGGTCTGGGACAGCACCCGCTCTACCTCCGAGGTACGCCAGTTGAAAGATGAATTTGTAAGCATGTTAACGTCTTCAACAAACGAGGTGACAAGGTACCTCCATGAACCTTAAACTACAAGTTGGTGGCGACAAACACTGAGTCGCAAGATCTGCCTGGAATAAGTGTCGGCTCTGGAGGTGCAGAGGACAGCCAGGCACGCACCCATCTGAGGACGTGACAGCCGCCAGCCACCCAACAGGCCCACTGGAAACACCGCAGAGGAAACTCAGTGGGGGTCTGCCCAATGCAAGGGCCGCTGCACATGGGACCCAGGAAGGTCAGAGGGTGTGAGTCTCACTCACAAGAAGTCTCTAAACTGACCACAGTCACCTTCCCAAGGCAGGGTCCTACACTGAGGGAAAATTAGAGGTGGTAAAAGCAAGATTGAGCAACAGCTGATGTGGCTCAGTTGGTTGAGTGATGTCCTGTGCCCCAAAAGGTCACCAGTTTGGTTGCCAGTTTGATTCTGGTCAGGGCACATGGCCGGTAGGGGGCGTGCAGGAGGCAGCCAATCAATGTTTCACTCACATGGATGTTTTTATCTCTCTCTCCCTCTCTCTAAAAGTTAATTACTTTAAAAAAGTTAAAAGAAAATGGCTGAACCAGACAGGGACAAGGCACTAAAGGAAAAGAAGTTCAAAGTGAGAGTGGAGGCTCTGGAACTCTCAGAAGACCGCACTGTTGAGCACCAGGGAAACCACAAGGGGGGAGCTGTGTGAGGGCCTCTCCTGAGCTGGCCTCCTTCCAAAGTCCAGGACAAGGCCCCGCCTGTGGCTCGGGGGGGTGAGTGTTGACCCATGCACCAAGAGACCAGAAAAAGGGTATGTGTAAAAAATAAAAGGTAGAAAATAATGACTGAAACAATAATAATAATTTTAGAAGGTAGTAATGCTCATTTAAATAAACTATAGAATAAAAAAGAGAAAAGAGAGAAAGAATTGAATTTTTAAAAACCCCACATACCAAGCTAACCACAACAACAACAGAAAAAAACACCCTTGGATCTGCTCTTTATGGAGATCACCGGATTTTGCTCTTATGTAGTTGGATCTGGACCCCTGGTGTGGGTCCCTGTCCTCTTGGGCAGTTGTCTGGTATAGGCCAATGTGAATTGCTGTCCCTGCCTGGTCCTTGGCCTCCTGGCTGAAGCCCTGCAGGGCGCGGTCCCAGGTAGTCCTATGAGTCCTCCCCTAGCCCAGAAGCTGGGTCGCCTTTAGGGCTGGCCGCGCGTATGTATGTATTTGTTCTGGCTGCTTTCCCTCCCCCCCTGGCCCTGGGCTCTGTGGGGTATCAGGACCAGTCACGGTGGTTTACACAGATTGTCTTCAGGTGGTGCCTGTAGCTTATAGGAGGGGCAGGCAGTCTCTTCCTCTCCTTCCAGTGCCTCAGGTCTGCCTGGGTTGCTGGTGCCACCCCAAGCAGGTGAAAACAGAAAAGGGGGAGAAGGGGTGGTAATGAAAAGAGAAAAAAGAAGAAGAAGAAGAAATGCTCTGCTTGGCTCTTCAATCTTTCAGCAAGGCCGGCTCATGATGGGTGGGGCTTCTGCCCAGGCGCCCACCCAGCCGAGGTCTGAATCCCCAGCACGGCAGGCACTGCCCTGGGTGCCCATCCGCACTGTTCCTCCTGGGGGTGGGACACCTTCTCTTCGATAGCAGTGGGAGGAACAAGCCTCTTTTTCTAGGCACGACGTGGGCTCCCCTCTCCTTCTCTGTTGCTGTCTTTGGGCATCTCTGAGTGGGGCTGTTTCTTCTCTCCCAGGGGCAGGAGCTGCACGAGTTCACGTACAGGCTTCACAGTCTCCTCCCATCTCCTCTCCATGGCTGCCTTGCTCACAGTATTTCTAGTCAGCCATTGTCAGGTGGTTTTGCAAGTTGAATGCTCTATAGTTTAGCCTCTGGTCTGGTCCTGTGTTTGGAGCAAGCACATGGAAATTCCTTAGGCTTCAGCCATCTTGCCTCCCAGTCCAGTAAAATAAACTCTGGACCTATCTTTTTCCTCAGTTTCTTTTGTTCATTAGATTCCACAAATAAGTCAGATCATGTGATACTTGTCTTTCTCTGACTGGCTTATTTCACTTTAGCATAATAATCTCCAGGTCCCTCCATGCTGTCTGAAAGGATAAGAGATCTTTCTTTCTTACAGCTGCATAGTACTCCATTGTGTATATGTACCACAGCTTTTTTATCCATTCGTCTACTGATGGGCACTTGGGCTGCTTCCAGATCTTAGCTATGTAAATAGTGCTGCTATGAAAGGAGGACAAGTTTATAAGTGAATAAAGAGAGAAGTGATTTAAAGGATTCAAGAGAAAAAATGACAAATATATAAGATGTGCAAAATTTTTTAACATGTAAATGACAAGTCTCTGAGTAAGAAAACCCAAAGGAACACTAAAGACGATAACTCAGTAAAACGTTCCTAAAATGTTGAACAACATAGTAAAAAGAGAATGTGGTTTGTTTGAGAAACTCAACTACCAAACCCAAGATATATTCTAGTAAAATTTCTGAACATTCAAGAAAAAGACAATATCACCACGGCATCCCAGCAAAAAGACTGACTTGATAATTAGATTATTGTCAGACATTCTTGCAGTTGTGGTTAATCCTCACCCGAAGATATTTTTTCCATTGATCTTTTAGAGTGGGAGGGAAAAAGGGAGAGAGAGAGAAACATCAATGTCAGAGAGACACATCGATTAGTTGCCTCTCACATGAACCCAACCAGGGCTGGGGATCAAACCTGCAGCCTAGGTAGGTGCCCTTGACTGTGAATGGAACCCTCCACCCTCGAGTCCATGAACCAATGCTCTAACCACTGAGTCCAGGGCTCATCAGACATTTTAATAGCAATGTTACGTGAAAACACAGTAACATATTAAGATACTGCAATAAAGCATGTAAGTGAAGGCGTGGTGGAATCAGAACACCCCATTCTGCACTCCCCAGGAATCGAAGGACCCAGGCTCTGAGCACCGGTGTCCTAACATCGTGAAGACAGACAACCAGACACTTCCTGGTGGTGACAACCACAGCACCACCTGCGGACCTTCCAAAGGAGCCCAGCTCAGCCTGAGGCAGCCCCTGCGTCTAGGTGCTGACTTGCAGGAAACGCAGAGGACGGGGGACGAGTAAAATCGCCCTGCCATCTGCACTCAGCAAAACCCAGACTATGGAAAACTCTGCGGTCAAATGGCACAGGCTTGTCAACATATTAATCGTTAGTGAAGGAAAGGGGTGGAGGAGAGGCCTGTGGAGTGTAAGGGACACAAAAGACAGCTGGGGCTGCACTGTCTGGGGGCTCATACTTGAGTGAATAGACTACACAGAAATACCCAGAAAGTGGTTTCTCAACAAGTAGGAGCTGGGATACGATTACCCTCCAGCAGAGAGTAGTGGGAACTAAAGGAAACCGCGAGACAGGTGGCTTTTGACTGGCCTGCGGCCCACGGAGACCGCAGTGGCTGGCAACGTCTGCCTCTTGACCTGAGTGGTCATTAACGGAGATTTGTCTTAAGTGATTTATTAAATTATACGTTTGTGTTATCTGTATCTCAATTTTATTTTACATTTTTTAACAGTTTTCTGTTTTGGGGGGTTTTTTTTAGGAGTGCAAAGGAAAGTGAGGATCTGAGCATTTGTCTTCTGAAGACTGCGGAGCCTGCCGCTGGACGAGGGGGAGGCGGGGACACTACTTAGGGGTTAGGGCTGCAGCACAGAGTGAACAGCCTGGGCTGGAAGGAGTCGGGGCTCAGGGGAATTTCTGGACACTGTCCTGAGAACAGGGACTCATGACATGTACAAGTAGGAACAAGAAGTGCAGAGGGTGAGAGGTGCATGATCTCAGAACCCGGACTCTAGAATCAGGTCGGGGCTCTCCAAGGCCTCACGGACAGCGCCACCCGGTGCTACTTTGGGCTCCAGGGCGAAGCTTCAGCTGGGACCTTGCTGTGGGGCTGGTGAGAGAACAGCCCCTGAGACCTGCAGGGACAGTGATAAAAGTCTCACGTGGGAAGCCCCACCCCCACATTCCAAGGACTCAGCAGACGGTGCCACCCAACCAGAGCCCCCCTTGCATCTCATCCCATGACATCTCCCTGTCTGCCACCCAAAGACAAGGAGGAAGACATTACCTCGTCACCAGATGGCTGAGTCTCCGCACCCCCTGCAATGAAAGGGGAAGAGCCACACATCCATTTGGACTAACTGCCGTGATTACCCTGAGAGGCGGGGTCACCGGCATCTCTGCTCCCCCCACCCGAGCATGTCTCTGGCTTCAGAAGAGACTATTCCAGGAACACTGAGAAGTACAGTCAGCCTCCGCACCTCACACTGTCCACGTTGGGAAACGTGGGAAGTAGGGGAAACCACAGGACAGGGGGCAGGTCCCCCACCAGACTCACTACCTTTCCGAGCCCTGCAGTGAGTGGCGATCCCCACCAGGAGGAAGATTAGCCCGAGCAGGAAAGTTGCGGCTCCACGTAGCATCTTTCTCCAAGAATATCCAGGTGAGGCTCCTATGGGAAGCAGGTCCTTACGTCAGTGAAAACTCCCACTGTTTGGCGTGCCTTCCTGAATCCCAGAGCCTGTGCTGGGGAAAATCGGTTTGGAAATGGTTCCTCCACAGCAAGGCCTGAGCCATGGAGTTTCTGTTACTGACTCTTGCAGCCCATAAGAATGTCCTAGATACCAAGACAAAGCGTGAGAGGGTACCAGCTCCCAGCTCTGGGAGTAAGTGGGAGTGAAACCTGATTTCTTGGGAGATTAAGGAGAGATTCTGCTGTGCTTTCTCCCACTTTGACTCAGATCAGGGGAGACAGGATTGGTGTGTGACCAAGACGAATGAGGAGGCAACATAGGCTCCCACGAGTCGGTGTGACCCTGCGGGGGCCCGAGAGCAGGAGAAGCGGTTCTCACTCCACTCCACAGAGACGGGGCTCGGCAGGCTGGCGTGGTCAACCAGGCAGGTGTAGACGTCTCCCAGCTCAGGAGTCATTTCCAGCATCACCACTGTCTGGAAAGTCCAGTCTCCGTTGCTGATCAGGCCAGGGGACATGACCCCCGCTCTCTCCTCCCGCCCATTCCGGGACCAGCGGACTCTGATGTCCCCCGGGTAGAAGCCGGTCAGGGCGCACAGCAGCACGTTGGGGTGCCCCAGCACTGGGGGCCGCTCTGGATACACCGTCACCTCTGGTTGCACTAGGAAGGGGGAGGAAACGGAGGCATGGAGGACCCCACAAAGCCAACACGGGAGTTTCTCTAGGGGCTCTCGCTGTCCCTGACCTCTCTCCCCCAGGAGGAGAGGGACATGTGAGGAAATCTCAGTGCCCCAGGCAGGACGTGGGCCTTGTCAGACACCCCGATCGCCCCGTGTTTGACAGCACACAGTCCTTAGAGTCCCTGAGAGCCTGGGGCCCCGGGGCCAAGATGACAGGGACCTGCCCTGTGAGGACAGCGAGTGAGTGTGGTGGGGACAGGCCGTGTACACAGGCTGCCCTGCTCCTAGCCCAGGCATCCTGAAGCCTGTGATCTGAAGAAGAGTGGTGGCCAGCTCACCCGGGGGAGACCGCTGATCCCCGTGGGCCTCACCTGCCGCTCACCTCTTCTCCCCACGATGAAGGGTGCGCCCAGCGCGTAGTTGCGCCGGCAGAGCGCATCCACAGAAGCCCTGCTTCTCTCCAGGATGTCCGGCCGGTGGTTCCACAGCTCCACATCCGGCCGCCCCAGCTCCGTCAGGGCCACAAAGCCCCCCACGTCGCTGTCGAAACGTGCATACTCCTCCAGGTTATAGACGAATCTGACCACAAACCGCACCCGGTCGGTCCCGTTGGTGAAGTAACACTCAGCCTTCGCCTGGATCACGAAGTCTTCTGGAAAACCGAAAGAAAGACTATAAACCAACCCCACCTTTAGGAAACACACACCTGGGAAATTGTGCCAGATCGGACGATTTGAGAGGTGGCCCTGACCTCAGTAAACAGGCCGAAGTAGCCTTTTCTCCCCTGGGCCCCACCCTGGTTCTCCACCATCGGGAGAAGCCTGCGGCCCATCCTACCAGGCCAGCCACATAGGAGACATGTAACCTATTAACCCAAAGAAACAAACCAAAGAAAGTCCCGCAAGAATGAAAATTCATCCAGCAAATATTCATTCATTCATTTGACAAATTGTGTTGACTGCTTTGCCAGACACAGGGCTAAGTCTCTCCAAACCAGGTTTGCAGAAGCCCCGGGCTTGAACTCCCTTTATTATCAAGTCAGAAGGTCCCTCCCTACATGGAATCGTTCAATAACAGCCTTGCCTGTATGTAGCTGCTTCATTCTACACCCCCCCGCACACACACACACCCGTGTAAAGTGCAGGAGTGACCGAGGTGGGCAAAGCACTGCGCGACAGGCACATCGTGGGTGTGAAGTGACCTCCCCTTCTACCTCCATTCACGATGGGTTTTCTCCAAGAATTTTCTCCTGGGCCTTTTCCTTTGTATTCTTATTCAGAGATCTCGTCTCCTCTGTTGGCTCTAGTGAGACCATGACCTACCTCATGACCTCTACTAATGTTGGATGAAATGTCATTAATCATGACTTGAAGATGCCTCATCATCTCATCATCATCATCATCATCATCACTGGCACAATGCCTACATACAATCTAGTAGTTGCAATAACTTGGTGATGGGGATATAAGGTTAACTTAAACCTTCTTTGGGGCCCTGGCCGGTTTGGCTCAGCGGGTAGAGCGTCGGCCGCGGTCCAGAGAGACTCAGGGTTCGGTTCCCCCTAAGGGCACGTACCTCGGTTGCAGTTTGTCCCCGGCCCTGGTTGGTCGTGCGGGTGGCAGCCACTCGATGTGTCCCTTTCACATCGATTTCTCTCTCTCTCTCTCTCTCTCCCTCCCACTCTATCTGAACAAAATATGGAAAAATGTCCTCAGGTGAGGATAAAAAAAAAAACCTTCTTTGGGGGATTTTATATTAAACATTGCTATTTCAGATGGAATTTAAAAATCCAGTTCCATTTTCCATTCTGATTTTCTACTTTCAAAGTACCTTTCTAATATTGATAGTGATAAATTTGAGCCATGTATTAATTTTAGTTCCTCATTTCTAACCTGCTCATGTTCTTCAATGTAATTTAATTTTCCAAAGCTATTTAATCAGTCCTCATAGGTTAAAAAAAAAAAAAAAAAAAAAAAGGTGTCTTATGTGTAGAGCATACAGTGTGCTATGTTCTGAATGTTATATCCCCCAAAATTCATATGCTAAAATCCTAACCCTCACAAGGTGACGGTATCATCAGGTGGGGCCTTTGGGGTGCTTCAGGTCGTGAGGGTGGAGCCCTGGTGGACGGGCCCAGAGGCACCCCCGTGCCTTCGCCAGCTGGGCTGGGAAGCAGACCTCCACCAGGACACCACCACGCGGCTCCTTGGCCTCGGGCTTCCCAGCCTCCGAATCCTGAGAAAGAAATTGCTGTTGTTTGTAAGTCACCCAGTCTGCAACATTTCATTATAGCAGCTCTGACAGACTAAGGCAGTGATATTTGTCTTAGGTTTGAAGAACTGGAAAAGTTTAACCGACAGTCTGGTAAATAGCTCTGGGATAGGCCTCAGTAGTTTTGCAAAGAAACAGACACCCTCTCGGACCTGCTTCCCCACTGGTAGAGGTGGTTTGGGTTCATGCCCAGCAACTCAGGTAGCGCTCAAAGCATAGTAGGTGAGAAAAGGAATAAAATGTGATTCAATGAACAATGACATTTATTAAAATTTTTAAATACGCACAGGAAAAACAATGCTACATATTTGTAAGACATGCCAGAGCCATGAGAAGAGACATCGGTGGAAGAGAGGAGCCGAGAAGGGAGGAAGGGAAGAGGGCAGAGTCCTTGTCCTGACCGGGCTGCACGGTGCTGTGAAGGAGGGGCAGCTGCAGTACTTCCTACAATAAAGATACATCCAAAAAGGAATAATAACAAATAAATAAATAATTTAAATTAAAAAAAAAGAGTAACTCCATTCTATGCGCTTGAGAACGATAATAAAAGGAAGCTCAGGTGGGTGAACAGTGCCAGTTGGCAGAACAGATCCCCCGAGGAAATGACATTGAAGCTGAGACTTGGAAGACAGTTGAGAACTTGCTCCGGTCCCTGGGTTCCGAGGCTGCAGCAAGCACTGGGCGAGCTGCCCGGGTGGCGGCGCCCCTCCCTCCCCGGCAGCCGCTCACCCCTCCTCGCGCTGTTGTCTCTGGCCCTAACCTCCCTTCTCTATTCCCCCTGCGGTCAAACAGAAAATAAAAAACAAAACTTTTTTGCTTTTATTTAGATCTGGTTCAGATTTAAGATCTGGACTGAATTTCTTTTCATGTGTGCTGTTTAACGAACATTATAAGTTCAAAGAGGTTTCTATTGTCTAAAAACAACGATCTCCCACCCACCCCCAGGTTTGTTCCTCTTTCGTAGTTCATGAGACTTGGACCTGCAAAGGGGTTTTGTTTTTAGCACATTGCATCCTGTTTTCTGCTGGTAAATGTTTTCATGGTGCACTACGTCTTCAGGTTTGCGTAGCCTGTCCCCTCCGCTGGAAAAACAGCAGCAATAAGTACACGAGCCCTGTAAGCCAAGCTCAGGGATACTGCATTCAACCTCTCTTGTTTCTCAAAACTGCCTGATACAATTCTAACCGTATAATATGGCCTTAATAAATGCCAGAAGAAGCAACTTTGTCTCCGGTTTCTCTTGTTCGTATGTTTGGACAGATACAGAAACAGTCACAGGCTTGGAGGATGGCAGCTTTCCTCAGACTGCTCCTGGCCGACAGTGATGCGATACAAACGAAAGCCAGACAGAGTTTCCCGTCCTCCTGCCTCCCACTCCTCCACTCTGTGGCTCTGGTACAGGAAGTCCCCTTCCCGGTACTCCCTTGTGTGTGGTAAAGAGGAAAGAAATACTTCCCTGTCAAAGGGAGGAACTCTCTTTAAAGCCAGAAGCCACCTCCAGTCTTGTCTGCGGCCTGGGCCTGTAGGGGAAGGCGCCCCTGCCCCACGCCAATTCTTGCGCACACCTGGGAAGGATCACCTGTTCTTACCTGGAGAGTCTCTGCCTTGAGTCACAGAGGAATCCAGCCCGATTAGATTCACTAGCAGAGCTGCCACCCAGGGAACCCACCCAGAACCCATCCTGCAAGGGAAGAACGGGGCAGGAAAAGCATCAGCCTCTTCAGAATGGGGCTTGCCCTTAAAAATTACTCACTCAGTGTATACCTTTCTGGCCTCCCCAGCAATGGAAACTCCCCACATTGGTAACCAATCAAGACAGAGAAGTTTTGCATCATTAGGTGCTGGGTAGAATACTTTTGGAAAGTTGTGTTATACTCATCAGGAACTTTATCTCTGCGAAATCACTGACAGCAGCTCAGGTATGTGGGAAATGGGTTGGGAGAAAAAGAAAAAGTATTCTACATCGTAGGTGGTCCTGGAAGAACTGGGCAGATTGTTTATCATGTATCCTGATGTCCTCGTTTAGCACTGTCCCTGTCCCGTCTCCCTTCCTACAGGGTGGTTGACACTGTTAATGAGACAGAAAGCAGACAGCATTCTGAAGCATATGCCTTAAGAGTAGTTCGTGAAGGGATTATCAGAGAAGAAAGAGAAAGGATTGGGAATAACCTAGAGAATATGGCTTCCTGTAAACCAAACAGGGCCACACAAGGGTGGGGGAGACATAAAGAGAGGATTCTCAAGAGAATAAAATGCTGCAGAAATGTTCAAGAGGATAAAACATAAGAAAGCGTTTTATTGTGTCTTGTGACTGGTGGTACACCATAACCTTCATGGGACATGGAGTGTTGAAGGTCGAAGATGTACTTCAGAAACTGGACATGAGGAAATGAAGGCAGCAGATGTCAACAGTCCTTCAATTTTGGGAAATGAAAATAGAGAAAAAGGTGAGACTCTTGCTTGAGAAAAAAATGACAACAAGATAAAATGACTTTTAAGATAGGAAAGACCTTAACAGTTTTCTGAAGCAAGTACAAGATATCTGTAGACAGGAGAGGTTGAAGATAAAAGGGAAAGAAAGAAATTTCCCCCAAAATGCTGAACGGAATCCAAGGATGAAAGAGATTGCCAGTCTTGGCAACAAGAAGGGATGCTTCTTCAGATACAAGGATGAAGACAGGAAGATTTGGGATGAAAAAGAGGGAAATAAGGAGGCTCCAGCTGTATGACTTCAGTGAACTCAGTTTGGAATAAGGCAGGTCTTCTGCTACAATAAGTGCATTTGGTAACTGAGGAGAGGCGGACTCCTTCCTCGCCAGGGTGGTGTGTGAGCGCGTGATCATGCCGTTAGCACAGAGCTGCCCGTACTCAGCACTGGGCTGGCCAGTGGGGAACAGACCATCTCTTGCCCTGCAGGAGTGGATAACCCAGGCGCAGTGACGGGGAAACAATCCACTGTGATGTCAGGAAGAATGAAGCTAACTTTGTGAAGTTTGAGCACATAAAGAGAGTATTTCTAACTTACTCTAGAAAGAGTTTGTGATGAAGTTGATATTTGATACAATTGGCCTAACAAACAGAATTTTAGAATTCAAACTATTCCATGCATGTGGACAACAGAGAGATAAACAGTGAAACAAAAAAAAAATTTATCTGGAATCCCTTAAAAATTACTTTTTTTGATACTTTTTAATTGAAGTTATTGTGGTGATATTGGTTAATAAAGGTTTCAGGCGTGCAGTTCTATAATACATCATCTGCATATTGTATTGTGTATTCACCACCCCAAATTAAAATTACTTATTACCCACAATAAATAAATAGACGCACGCCACTTCATTGAATGGGAGAAAATACAATAGAATTTTCTTCACCTCCCTAACGGAACACAGGCTTTGATGGGTATGTAAGGTGGGGTTATGGTGGCAGCTGCCCCGGAGACCCAGGAATATTGAGGTACGCCTTACCTGGCATGCCCTCAGGAAAGCTTCACCCATAAACAGTGATAGCAAATTGTAAATCAAAGGTTTACTCTATTATTCGCGGGTCAAATCCCCGACACCCCAATAGTTTTATGATAAGCCTCTCTGAAGCCTGAGACCCCAAGCAAGGTCTCCTGTTCCCTCTTGAACCCACTGTGCCACCAGCCAACCGTGAATCCTGAAGGGTTAGAGTGTCTGAGCAGATGACAGTCACAAAGGGACTCTGACAAGGTGGCAGAAAGGGTTCAGAAGAGAAGTGAAATGCAGCTATGGAGCATTTTAACATACTGTGACCCCCACTCTCGCTGAGCATGCCCTGCCCTGGAATCTGGCCCATCAGAATAAGTTCTCCCCTTGAAGATCATGAAAGAATAAAGAAAAAGATGGGGAAGTGTTCATCAGCTTCCCCTACTTCCTAGGCCCATGGGAAACGATACCTCCCAGCCTCCGGGACTGTGTGACTAGTTCTAGCCAATGGTTAGTGAACAAGACGTTTTTGTCAAAAAATGTAACTACTGCCCTGGCCGGTTGCTCAGTGGTTAGAGCATCGGCTCACAGACCAGTGAGTTCCGGGTTCGGTTCCCACTAAGGGTGTGTACCTTGGTTGCAGTTTGTCCCCAGCCCTGGTTGGGGTTGTGTGGGTGGCAGCCACTTAATGTGTCTCTCTCACATTGATGTTTCTGTCTCTCTCCCTCTGGCTAAAATAAAAAATGTAACTACCATTGCATGATTCTTTCTCTCTTCCTGTCCCAATTCAACCAAGACAGCTTGGTGTTGAAATGTGGAATCAGAATATAGAAACAGTGTAATTAGCTGCAGCATCATGGGGCACCACCAGCGCCCACCAAGCATGCTGTAGGGATGGGAGGTCACTTGGGTTTCATCAGGGCACTGGGGGTTGCTGGTTACCACAGCCTGGCCTAACGACCTAACTCATGCAGGACAGTACGGGACACTGACCCCCTTCACCACCTCCCTCAGGTAGATTTCAGTGATCACGAATGACGTCTGACCACAGGCCAGAAAATCGTAGACACCATGTAGAGTGGACGACCGTGACTGAGTCCTTCCAGAGCGGGTGGCTGGCCGCTCCCCGGGGGGAGGGAGTGTGTGAAGCGGAGTAAAAAGGGGGCAGACAGGAGCTCAAGGCACTGTGTTCACTTCCTCTCCTTCTTACACACTCGCACTTTAGTCTTTCCCACGTGTCTTCGCTCATTTGGCAGTGGAGAGAAGCATTTGACTGGACGCGGAGTGGATAAGATGATCAGAAGCAGTAAAAGCCTGGGAGGGCACGAGAGGCACGAAATCGAAACCTTCTCTCTCCCCTGCAGGAGAAGCACCCTGGCTGGCGTCCGCACTGCTCGCAGGAACAGAAGGGAGGCCGGGAGGGTAGAGATTGGAGGGAGGCTTGAACTTGGATTTAGAGGGAAGAGAAGGCGTTGTCAGATGCCTTGGGGGTGAGGGGGCAGAGTAGAGGACATG